AGGTGACTCTGTAGGAAGTGTGTCTGTGCTGATTTGCATGAGAGGCTTCTTAAAGGGAAGTGAAACAATGTGTGAGTGAGAGACTGATGGAGCAGAACCAACATCTGACAGAAACTCCTCAAAGGCTGCAGAGGTTCAACATGGACTCCAGGAGACTCTGCAACTTCTACACCATAGAGAGCATCCTGACCTTCGACAGGTGCACCATAGAGAGGATCCTGACCTTCTACAGGTGCACCATAGAGAGGGTCCTGACCTTCTACAGGTGCACCATAGAGAGTATCCTGACCTTCTACAGGTGCACCATAGAGAGGGTCCTGACCTTCTACAGGTGCACCATAGAGAGGGTCCTGACCTTCTACAGGTGCACCATAGAGAGCATCCTGACCTCCTACAGGTGCACCATAGAGAGCATCCTGACCTCCTACAGGTGCTCCATAGAGAGTATCCTGACCTCCTACAGGTGCTCCATAGAGAGGATCCTGACCTTCTACAGGTGCACCATAGAGAGTATCCTGACCTTCTACAGGTGCACCATAGAGAGGATCCTGACCTTCTACAGGTGCACCATAGAGAGGGTCCTGACCTTCTACAGGTGCACCATAGAGAGCATCCTGACCTCCTACAGGTGCACCATAGAGAGCATCCTGACCTCCTACAGGTGCTCCATAGAGAGTATCCTGACCTCCTACAGGTGCTCCATAGAGAGGATCCTGACCTTCTACAGGAGCTCCATATATTTTTGTTTTTTGGGTGATGGGAGACACATCTATGGATTCAGAATTTCAATAGCTTACCATTAAATGACGAATATACCTTTCTGTCTGTTTTACAAATCAGATATTAATGTGTAGAAGTAAAACATGAGAAATAGTATAGCAATATGCTGTAAAATTATGTGAAAACATGAATAAAACTACACATCTTCAGATGTTATACATACATAGTGTCCTACACTAATAATAAAAAGTTAGTATGGCTGTGTGTGCCTTGTGTGCACCGCTTAGTGGTTAAAGCACGTTATTGAATTATTGTTTTAATATGTTATATTTGATGAAAAAAATATTAAGAGTACATACTTTCATAGGGGGAAAGTAGAAGGTCAATGATAGAAATATAGAATATAGAAAATCAAGAAGATACTGTAAGTGATCTCTAGAATAAAACAGTTTAGTGCCGGATGTAAGATATTAATATGAGGATGTGCACAACAGAAAAACGAATTAACCTTTATTTAAATAATGCTTTAGGTTAAGGTCTTCTTTTAAATAAGAAAACATCTTTGGGGGTATCTACAGATAAATATGAAGACTGACAAAGTACTTAACGTCTAATATATTGCTTTCCTGCAATGTTAACTATGTTGAAGCACTTATTTTAACTGATATTATACACATTAATTATACTCTTATGTATGTAGATAGTATAAGACATGTGCAGAATTTGAGTTTAATGGTGGAGGTACACACATATTGATAGATGTCTTGTAATGCACTGTTGAGGAACCTGCGACCCAAGTTTTTCATTCATTGCATAACTACACCGTAGTTGTGTATATGATATGTCAATAAACCTTCGAAAATCTTGAAATCTTGAAAGGGATGTACAAAATAGCCATTATATACAGTTTTTAATTAACTATTAGGAGAGAATAACGAGTAATGAATATACTTTATAGGGATCTGCAGATAAATGTTTAGTCTTCTCAAGCACCAACTATCTAATATCTCTCCTGATTGTTGGCACTTGACAATCACCTTACCCTGAATTTTACTCAGGTGTAACTAAAATCTGATTTAAGGGTTGTTTATATTTCACATCATTAATCAGAATCTGCAAAGTAACTAAAATAAATGTAGTGGAGTAAAAATACCAGGTTAACCTTAAAGAAAGCCTTCAGGATTATAAAAGACCCCCATCACCCCAGCCACAAACTGTTCTGTCTGCTGCCGTGTGGCAGGCGGTACCGCAGCATCGGTAGGACACGTTCGATTCCTGTTTTGAACAGTGTGCCGTCGATGGGTTTCATTCCATTTCAAACTGCTGTTTGACGCTCGGTGTAAACTTCGCGCACTGCCACTCCAACATCCAATCACAGAGCTTGAAGACTAATCACGGGGTTTGTCAAGCAAAGCACATGGTGTAGTCCCAAACTATAGCTGAGGATTCTGGGTAGTGTAGTGTCTTCTGCCATCCTAAACTCCGAAAAAATATTTGTTTCTCCGAATCGAAGGGGGAAAATACAAAAGTATTGTACACAATTCAAACCAATCAATGTTGTGTAATTAACAAGGATAATCTGGTGTTTTTGAGTTGATGAGTAGTGCAGATATCACTATAAAATCAATCGACAGTAAAGAGAATACTTACTTCCGGGTGTAAAATCCTCCGTTATCCAATGGGAATGGACGCTCACATTGCCTTTGAGACTGTGTTGAAATTACAGCCTCGCCTACTGATTTTAATTTAACCATATGTCGAGCCCGATCGTCGATTTCAAATGTGTGCTCCAAAATGATATTTATAAATGACTATTATCATTAGACAATAAGACAATAAATGGCAAAGATATGTAGAAAATAACCGTATTTGAGATACGTTCATAACAAACGTAATGTGGGAGAAAATACGTTTCTAGCTAAACGTAATTGAGAATGCTGTTTAGTTCTGTGGGAACGTAATTTTTAGGAGACAGGGTTGTGTACCGTGAACGTTCCCCCTGATCTGGTTCTTCTTGTCAAGGTTCTTGCCCATGTTTCTTGTCTGTGTTTGTTACCTGTCGATTTGCTCCTTGTTTTTTCTGTTTGTCCCTTGTTTTTTTTTTCCTTTTTTAAGCTGGATTTTGGAACCAGCTATAATTGTATTAAAGGTCACCTATTATGCAAAATCTTCTTCTTCCTGTCTCTTCTACATCAACATGTGTCCCCTCTTCTTCATGTCTCTTCTACATCAACATGTGTCCCCTCTTCTTCATGTCTCTTCTACATCAACATGTGTGCCCTCTTCTTCATGTCTCTTCTACATCAACATGTGTCCCCTCTTCTTCATGTCTCTTCTACATCAACATGTGTCCCCTCTTCTTCATGTCTCTTCTACATCAACATGTGTCCCCTCTTCTTCATGTCTCTTCTACATCAACATGTGTCCCCTCTTCTTCATGTCTCTTCTACATCAACATGTGTCCCCTCTTCTTCATGTCTCTTCTTCATCAACATGTGTCCCCTCTGTGTAAAGAGACTCTAAAAGTTTCAGGAACAAAGATTCTCTCTCTTTTTGTCCTGATCCATTTCTATAAAAACCTGTCTGAAAATGAACTGATCAGATTGTGGCCACTTTATGATGTCATAACGATTTTAACCATTAGCCAATCACCAACCAAGGCTCCTCCTAGAGCACCATTGAGTTCTTTGTAACCAAATCTCTCTCAGAGGGGCGTGGGGAGGGGCTCCTTATTTTCATCTAAAGTAACAGACAGAGAATCAGCACTTTGGAAACAGGGCTGAAACAGAGGGGATTCTGGGATGCTGCAATGATTTGTTTGGTATTACGAGCCAACACCCCCCCCCCCCTCCGCGGATCTGAAATTACGAAAGTGAAATGATGGAGCTATTAATAATCATTTCAATTTTTATAGCGCCTTTCAAGAAACCCAAGGACGCTTTACAATGGGAAACAAAACAACAAAATAATAATCACACAGATACACAGGTTGAAAAAGAACAGGTTGAAAAAGAACAGGTTGCTGGGTATTACATTTTACCTGAGGCCAAAGGCCTGAGTGAACAGATGGTGTTTGAGTTGTTTTTTGAAAGTGTCGGCATTCCTGATATCAGAGGGGAGAGAACTCCAGAGGGTGGGGGCTGCGACACTGAAGGCTCTGTTTCCAAAGAATTTCAGCTTGGAGCGCTGGATGGAGAGCCGGTGTGTGTGTTTATTTCATAAACTGTTTGTGGCGTAGGCTGTGGCTGCCGCTGCAATGGGACTTTGTTTCTACACCTGTGTTTGCGACCATGTGTTTTTATTCTGCTGTTTAAGTGGGAGTGTGTCCTTATTCATGTAGCCTCATGCTTAGTGTACTCTGGTTGATTCTACTCACTCCTCTCAGGAATGCATATTTTGATCATTTATGAACAGTTGTAGGCCCCAGGCCTTCACAAAATGAACAGATCTAAAGAAAATATATACACATGGTTCCATTGCCAGTTATCAGCACCTCATCACAACCCTGGGTGTGCATTAAAATGTAAGGGTTTTATATATAAGTACCTTTACTTTTGCTTGTAGATGCGACACTCTTTGATTTAAGTTGTGAAGAGTTTCATCTCCACTTTCAGATATGTGTTTTGCTATTTCAAATAAAGGGCAGTACAATTAAACCTGGAGCAGACTGAGAAGACTTGGCTTGTTATTGTATGTAATAATGGTTTACTTATACACATGCAAATATGTAAATACATTAGTACTGGCCCTCCCCCCCCCCCTCCCCCCACCTTTATACAGGTTCCTTTAGTAGTGACCATATAGAAGGAAAACAGCACTGAAGTAATGTATGCATTTAACATTAACATTACAAAAAGGCAATTCAATTGGTAATAGTAAGTTGCTCAAAACATGAAATAACATCGACTTGGTGTTGGCTTTTGTGAAAAGAACATATCGTATTCTGAGGCCGTTATAACCTTACGGGGAGAACTTCATCCTTCACTTCTCTAAAAACTTGAATGTGTACAAAACAAACTGACATTACATAAGAAAAAATGATTATTCTAGGAAAGCATGTCAGTCCTTGTCAGCGTGGTCAAATATTTTACCCTGAGGCATAACTGTACGCTTGCAAACTGTGCATCAGTGAGCAGACACACCTTAAAGAAAAACGCAATCATGTGACAGGTGCAGTTGTGATAGTCAACAGGGGGTGGGGGCTTGACAAAGGTGTGTCTCTGATAGAAGAGATTTAAGGCTTGTGGCTTCGTCCTCAGTGTGATTCCCGTGAACAGCTGCTGTCGGCTCAACTTGGCTGCAGTCATGGCTCGCCTCTCCTTCTCAGAAGTGGGCCTGCTGCTCCTGTTAGTGCTGGCTTTGGTGAGTATTCAATCTACTCTATCAAGTGACTTTAACATCGACACACTGGGGCATGCTGCAGGGCAGGGGTTTATTTTTTAAGTGGTCTAATTTGCAATTATTTAAAATGCAATTACTGATAATAATGGGTTTAATTTATAAAGCACTTAATATTTGACTTAAAATCCCGAAGTGCTACAAGCAGTGAGCATGAACAGTTTAAAAATAGTACACAACACGGTAGAATGAATAAAAAGCAATAAAAAACAATAAAAATAAAAATAAAATAAAATAAAAGGGTGGTAATAAATAAAAGGTCTAGGGAAAGGCTCTATTGAAAAGATGGGGTTTGAGGCCTTTTTTAAAAGCTGTCTGTCGGGTGAGGAGTTCCTTGAGGTAGGGAGGGGCAGTTCCATGGATACACTTGGGTGAGGACGGAGACCTTGAATTCGATCCTCAGTTCCCCGGGGAGCCAGTGTAGTGCTTTACTAATGATTCCAAAGCACACTTAGAAAACATATGATTCATGCTTACACTGTTATTGTTATTACTATATTAAGCAGCATGCTCGTGTTATTAAGCAGCATGCTCGTGTTATTAAGCAGCATGCTCGTGTTATTAAGCAGCATGCTCGTGTTATTAAGCAGCATGCTCGTGTTATTAAGCAGCATGCTCGTGTTATTAAGCAGCATGCTCGTGTACAGTATGCCAGGTTTTGACCGACAAACATTGATCATGATTTGACAGACAATAGTAAACATAAAAAGGAATGTTTTTTTTACCCTATTTTGGCATTTCATAATATGTGTGATGTCATGAAGATGACACATGAGGGTACATGGTGTTCCCAGCCCTCCATATAGTTGTGTCTAACACAATGGACACAAATGAATCAAAGAAAAGCAAACCAAAAAAAGATGTTTGTGTAGGCTGGCTTCAGTTCATGGGTGGTTCTATTGTAGGGGTAACACTGACCTTGGACCCCTCTTAAGAAGTACAATATAAGAGAAGCAGAAGTTTCAGGTGTGGGCCATCATTCATTATACTTTTAGAATTTGCTGCGGGCCAATTCAAAATGGACTCCGGGCCGTAGTTTGGACACCCCTGCCTTATAATGTTGACATCTTGAACACTGTCTTCGTCTCTGTTTACCCGCATTTAATGTGCCACTGTCATAAATAAATGACCCCACCACTGCCCCCCCTCCCCAGTAAAATTGGTCCACTGCTTCAGTTGTGTTACGTGTGCTTTGAATACCATGTTCGTCAGTATTACCTTTATGTGCATGTTGTGTTTAAAGTTGAATTCATTCTAACGTTGATGGATGTCTTTGTCACTTTGTCTTGTAACATGATGTCACTTGTTCGTTACCACCTGGAAATGTTGGCATGGCTGTTTTTTGACACACTAAATCAGAAGTTGATTTGTATTTTGTTTGTCAGGAAAAATGTTTGACATAACATGAGAGCTCCAATAACCCACACAAACACTCACAACCAAAAACACACACTTTATTTATCTATAGGGCGCCATTTGTACATAAAACCAACACATGAACATCGAAGGGCACAGCACAGTAAAAGATGGAAGAAAGAATTATATATATTCGATTAAGAATAAGAGGATAAAGGGAGTCCATTGGAGCTTTGAACACAACTTAAAATAACTTGAAATCTGGTGCTTTCTTTGTGGCCTTGCTCTGTAGACATGCCGCTGCAAATCTAAATGATTTATTGCTTTTTTTCTTGAGTAAAAAAATGTATGAACATTCCACTAAACCAGCCTGCTAGTAACAAAGACAGGTATAATTATCTCAATATCTCTTTCAGAGAGAATTGGTTGAACTGTAGCAAATACAATTTCTAAGCTGGTATAAATGTGGCATTAATGTTGTGTTGATTCAAAATTCCGATCTGGATCTAGAGGCATGCTTAGACTCTTTGTTTGGGGCTTGGCCACGGACTTTTAGTTATTCAACTCGTCTCTGTTTCTCTCTCATTTTTTTTAACCTTTCTCTGAATTACAGCAGATGTTTTTATTTGCTTAATGTGCATTGAACCAGTTTATTGATAGGGTTGATATCATTTGGTCTTAGGGAGATGAACAGTTGTGTATTCTCAGCATAGCTATAGAAATAATTGTGTGTTCTCTGATGATATTTTCCAGTGCGACATATAGAAAGTGAACTGAACACAGGAGCCACTGCCTCAAAACCCTGATTTCCTTTTCCCACACATTCATGCTGTGGCTGATCAACTATATTGATCTGTGCTGTAGTCATTAAAGCCCTCACATCACCTTTGTTCTTAATAATTAGCTCCCAATAGTGGTTCATGTTTAAATTCAAGCTTCTTAAATGTAGTTGGTGCTATAGCGTTGAAATATATATATATTTTAGCAGCTTTTTATTGGAGCTCTTGTCTAAATTCTAAAGAGGAAGGAAGGATCACTCATAAGACTAAAGTCATATATAATCATACTGCCCTTGTTTCACACCTTGATTTTGCTGACTGTGTGATGAGTTTGACAATGTTATTTCATATTTGTATATTGGCAGAAAATTAAACATTCAAAAGCAAATTAAATAGTTATGTGTGGTTTCCTTTCAGGTGCTCAGTGCCGAGTCAGGACGGAGAAGGAAAAAGACCCTGAGGAGGAAGAAGAGGGAGTGGATCATTCCTCCTACCAAGCTCATGGAAAACACTGACTACCGACACAAGAAATTCATTGCCAAGGTTTGATCCAAATATTATTTCACACAATTTGCATACACAGTCATTATAATGTGTAGACTGGATGAGCTTCAATGTTAAAAAAGTAAATAAAAAAACTTGTTTCTGTCACCACTTTGCCTGCAGTGAGCCAACCTGTTTAAACTGGTTTCAGTCCTCAGCTATGCTGCTATGCTATAGGGTAGGGAACATAGTGTACCAGTAACAGAAGCCACGCCTGCATTGGTCATTTATGAGTACAAATATGGGTGTACCCCAAGCAAACCTGTTATTAACTTTTATTTGTGCAGAGTGATAAATATGTATTGCTATAAATTAGTGCTTGGCAACGATTACCATTTTTAATCGTGATTAATCGAATGATTTTCTTCGATTAATGCGCAAAATTCAATAATGAATTCAAAACCAGTGTATTGCGCACTTTTATTTTAAAAGCACTGCTATAACAAAAGTGCAATAGCATTTGGTTTGCAAACACTTTAAACAGTATGTAAACACAGTAGCAGTTAAAAATATTTCTTGTAAATCTCTACTTCAACATGAATTAATGTAATCAAATCAAATATAAAACCAAAGCTATGTGCCACTTAACATTTTATCTAGTTAAAGAAAAACAAGTTACCCTCAGAGTCCAGTGAGAAGAAAATTAAACTTTGCAGTGGTTACAAATGACTCTGGTTCTATCAACTCCGACGTCTGGAAGAGATGTCCAATGTCCATGTTTCTGTCCTGCCACTTTTCTTCTGTTTCGGTCATGTGAGCGCTGCAGCAGTCTTAGGCCCGCCCCAAATGCTCTCATTGGTTGAGACACGTAATGACGCCCATCCTAAGCCAATAGAGTGGCGAAGTCACGCCCATCTACTTCCGGTCCATGGGACCTTATTTCGGAAAAATTATGCATTGAAGTCAATGGAGAGAGAAAACGTATCTTTCGATCCCGTTTGAATTGTGCCATGAATTACACATATGATGTTTGTCAATCTTAAAAAATCATTTCCATGTCAAAAAAGTCACAGTTTGTCGTAAAACTGTTGAAATATAAGACTATGAAAAATACGCAACTAGAAAGACTACAAATCCCAGAGTCGCGTAAGTGATGTCACAATTGTTTTCCTCCACTAATGGCGCATTTCCACTACACGGCCTCGCTCAGCCTCGCTCGGTATGGCTAGGCCTCGTTAGGACTGGCTCACTTTATGGCGCATTTCCATTACAGTTTAGGAACTGGGGTAGTATCTATAGTAACGCAGTGTAGGCGGAGCCGTGACGTCATCTTCAATGAGAACCCCAGAAAAACAACACAGCCGTTAGCTGTTAGCACTCAGAGCTCACAGCTCCTCATATATGTTCAGAAACTAGACAAAAGTTAAACAAGTACAAACCACAGACTGCCTGTGTCATGGTGAATACAGTCGCTGCTTTATTTATGTCTGTATAGGCCGTTGTTGTGAGTGTGGACGGTCGGAGCATATACTGCGTTAGCTTAGCCAATCTCCATTTAGACAACACGCATTTTAAAAGGTTTTTCGCCTGCCGTCTGTCTGCAGACTTGACAAAGCATTAATTCATGGTTTTTACTAACCGGTATCAGTATGTTGTTACTTCGGCATCATTTTGAAACGTGTATTACAATTAAATCACGGTCAAATATGTCCATCTTGTTGTAGTTGTAGCCCCCTTGCCAGCGATTCTCTCTCTAGTTTAGCATACTCAGCCCGACTCAGCCTCGTTGTCTCTGGCCCTAGACCCACGATTTTATGAGGCCAGAAAAACTGTGAATTAGGACCCGCCGGCCGGTACTAGGCCAAGTGGAAACGCAACTAAAAACGGGCCGCTGACATCACAGCCCTCTTAAACCGTGCTCCGCGCTGTAGTGGAAACGCGCCATTAGAGATAGCTTAGTGGAGCGCCATATAGATATAATCTATCTATATGGTGCTGGCTAAGATAAGATAACTTTAACAAGATGCCTGTGTGCTTAGTACCAGGTTGTTATCATACCAGCAATGGGTCTTGCTCGTTCTTTCGCTTCCCGTCTGATGAAAGGACCAGGAGTGTCTGGATCAAGCTAGCTAGTAGCTAGCACGTTAGTTAGCATTACAGCCTTGTCATCTTTATTAGCCTTAACATGAAGTAACATTAAGTAACCCAAAATGTTAAACAGTAAGAGTAGTAGTCATTTTTCGTGAACCCTTTGAAGAGTACTGTCACACCGGTGTGATCATTCTATAATACACAATTTAAGCCCGGGGGAGAAATGCTAACGCTAACGCCACATTAGCATCGGCGATCTTTTGCATTTCATGCTATCTGCACAAATGGTTGACATTAAACATTAAACATTAAAAAGACCAGGCAGTTCAGAGAGAATCAAAGGAAGACAGGCAGGCAGGCAGCTTTGCATGACATTCATAGTGAGGGTAGTCAATCCTTTTTTTGACAAGACAGCAGTGACGGCCATCTTGGTGACGTGTGTTTTTGTGCGAGACCGGAGATGTAGTTCATTGAGCGTTTCACACAAACAAATGTGTTATTTCACAGTTTTACGACATTTTTTTTTTTTTTCTGATTTGCAAAATTATCTTTTAAAGGTGGGCTCGAGATCGCTAGAATTTGAAAATACACAACCGGAGAAAATCTGCCACTTCCTTACAGAGCCCCTCCTCCAACACACACGAACGCGCACATGACCAATGAGAGCACGAGATAAGTTTGTGCACAGATGGAAGGCTGACAGGCAGGTAGGCCATCCAGTTATTTTAGCCGGGCCGGCTAAAATTATTGGTCGTGCTTTTTACAGTACTACGGCTTCCACAGATGACATTTTTTTATGGATTTTTTGTCAAAGCACTTCAGATATTCATTGCTATCGGGATGTTAAGAGCATTCCATGGAATATAACAAAAAGTGTATCTCGAGCCGGTTTCTCAAACTTACCTACCCCACCTTCAAATTGACAAACATCATATGTGTAATTCGTGGCACAATTCAAACGGGATCGAAAGATAATCTTTCTCTCTCCATTGACTTCAATACATAATTTCTCCGAAATAAGGTCCCATGGAGGTCCACCGGAAGGGGAGGGACTTCGCCACTCTATACTGATCAACATCCCACCCCTCCTGTTTGTCTGTATGTGTATTCAGAGCCAGTGAGCAACAGAATTTTAAAATAATAATATTAATTAAAAAAACTTTAATGATCAGCCTTAATTAATTAATTTGTAACTGTCAAAAACCAAAGTGGCTTAGGTTGAATGTCCTGCAACACTAATAGTGGACTGAACTTTGAGGTTTTGTTACAGTTTCAATCAACTCACTTTGTATTACTGTAGTTACATTACACTGGATATGGATGTTATCGTCCTGAATAAAATATTGAAAGATTCTTAATAGAACTCTGGTTTGAAAGCTTGGGTTGGCGTCTCCTTCATAGGTGCTATTGGTTCAACAATAGCCAAAACAAGCGTTTGAATTGAACATTTAAATAGCAATTATTATAACATTGTTAAAGAAGCCCTATTATGCAAATGTGAAGGTTCATTTTTGTATTTTGTTCCTCTATTGTGACATGACAAAAGGTCTTTATTTATTCTAATGGAGGCGTTTCAGGCAGATGGGGACATTTGGGGGAGAGAAACTCCCTCTAGAGGGAACTTCGGGATGTTAGCCTATGTAGACCATTTACCAGAGGTGGGGGACTCGAGTCACATGACTTGACTCGAGTCAGACTCGAGTCGCATATTTTTGGACTTGAGACTTGCCACCACAGTGACTTGGGACTTGCTTGAGACTTGTAGGTTAAGACTTGAGACTTGCTCATGACTTGCACATGTAGGACTTACTCCCACCTCTGCCATTCACAAAAACCTATATAACACACTACAGGAGAGGAAAACCTGAATAGCAAGTCCATGATTCCTCTGTTTGTGTTTTGTTGTCAGATACGCTCTGATAAAAACTTAGGTGAGTCGGTGGATTATTTTCTCACTGGACAAGGAGCTGACAAGGAACCCATCAATCTCTTTGTAGTGGACCGAAATACTGGGTTTGTACGCATCACTGAATTACTGGACCGGGAGAAACACCAATTCTACAATGTAAGTCTTTCTTTAAAGTTCTACTGTCCTGAAACCTGACGAAGACTGGTGGGAGAATAAAGCTCACGTTCCTTCAGTCACAGAGCTTTACTGAATGTCACTAGCCTACCCTTGTGCATATATTGTTTTGGACTTTTGTTTCAGATCAGATCAAAAGAGGTTAATTGTCATTATACTTGAGATACTATAGATGAGATGTGGTAGGCTTCTCTATGCATTTAAAAATAACAACTAATACATGTAAGCAGGGATTAAAACAGTGATTAGAAACCGTTATAGCAGCAAAGAGAATACAAATAAAGAAGGCACTAGTAACGCCCAAATATTTCAGATGATTGTCAACGTTTTGTGCAAGCAGTTTGTAATGTTAACGAAGCTTCAAATAAATGTAGTAATGAACCTGTATGTAAAGTTTAAACAAGGAAGTTACCTGGCTTAAATTCCCACAGACCTTAAGAAACGCATTTGTGACAACCAAGCGCCATAGGGATGAAATATGCTTCCGCATAACAGTTTAGTTTAATAGGTATGTATTTTAAGAGACCAGGCTTGGCACAAACACAAAACAGCAGCAATAAGAAAGTGCAGATGTGACAGCTGTGACATCCACAGTCAGGCAATGGATGAAAGTTAATTTTCTTTCTTCTGAACAAACCTGCTAAAAAATGCTGCGAGAACACGCAGGAAGCTCCGAAAAAAATCTAGTGAACCAACATTGAATTGAGGTTTGGGTGTCTGTATTCTATCTTCAAAGATCAATAGTAAAGTGTTTCTTCATGTAACTCATGCAGCTAACAGGGGTCGCAAGGTTCAAAGACGGGATGAAAGCAGAGAATGATGTCCCACTGACAGTCGTGGTTCTGGACCAAAATGACAACCCTCCTTATTTTGAGCTGCAAATCGGCAACATCACAGAGGAAAGCAAACCAGGTAGTGTCACATTGTTGAACACATATCAGCCTGCTGCTGTGAGAGAATGATGGAAACAGTCAGAACTCAGAAATATGTTACTGTTTATTTCTGCTGTCAATCAAATGTGACCAAAACACAGTCCACATCAGAGTTGGTAAAAGTACTCACATACTTTACGTTTAAAGTGGACCTATCATGCTATATTTGAATAATATATTGTAGGGCCATACCTATATAAAACATGTCTGTGAAGTTTCTTTTTCCAAATACCAAACAGATCATGCATTTTAGCCATGCCTCATTTCGCTCTATTTTGCTCTCCTCCAGCCTGTCTTTGCATGAGCTGCAGCTGACCACGCCCCCCTGCAAAGGAGGGGGCCGAGTTACGAGCGTCATGTTACCATGCTGTTACCATGCCACAGCAACCTCTCATTCCCCTGATAGGTGGAGAGTTGGCCATATAGGCGGAGCTCCTCGTTCCTGACGTCAGAGAAATTTCAAATCTGGATCAGTTTTTATCAGATCCGTTGCAGCCCCGTTTTTAGAGATTTGGGTATGGAGGAAAATAGAGAGGGTTGTGTTTTCTGACACTTGGTGAGTTCCCTGGAACACCGGGGACACATATTCATGTATAAAAGACGTACAAAAGTGCATTTTGCATGATAGGTCCCCTTTAAGTTAAATCAGTAAAGCAACATTAAAAACAATAAAAGTCCTTTATTTAAAATGTAATTAAAATAAAAAAGGATGAAAATATAAATGCACTAAAAGTGATAAAAGTAAAAGTACTTATTTTTCCTAATAGCCCATAACTACAGTAACCAACAGGGGTCAACGCGTAACAATGGCCTTACATTATGTAGAAGACACTTCAGCTTTAAAAATTCCGCAAAGTTCAAAACTCAACGGAAACTAAAAAGTGTTGCACGCGGCTGGGATCGAAAGCGCTTGTTGATGATCGGAGATTATAAATTCGGCAATAAAATGTTAATTTTATCGGCATATTTTAACATGTGATGTAATGGCATGATTCCTTCCGATAATATTGCAGATCTGCTGTAAACTAGCTAACGTAGCTAACGTAGCCATATATTATGATTATACTGACAAAGCACACAATTATGAAACAGGCTTACTCTGCCAGTCACTAGCTGTGAACAGATTCTCTGAAATGTTATGGTTTGTGCTGTTTGCTGCAGGAAGCGTTGTGATGCAGATCAAGGGGAAAGATAAGGACCAACCTGGAACAATTAACAGTGAGATCAGCTACAGGATCGTGAGTCAGGAGCCCGCAGGCACCGGTCAAATGTTCACTCTAGACAGAAAGACGGGCCAACTGTACGTCAAAGAGGAAAACCTGGACAGAGAGGTGAGGCTTCTGGTCATTGTATATCAAACACATCTCACATATGTTGCAGCACCTTTCAAAAGAATAATACTTAATACAGAGTGGCTGCAAGGTGGTGCGGCCTTCTTTCAATTGGAAGGTTGTGGGTTTGATCCCAGCCCTTGCACTCAACATGTCGATGTATCCTATCCCAAGATACTTTACCCAAGTTGCTCCCAACGGCAAGGCCAATGTTGTGTGAATGTGTGTGAATGTTTGCTTACTACTCTGTATGATTAAATGGGTGAAAGATGACTTGAAGAATTTAAAGCGCTTAGAGGGGTCGATGAAGTGAAATATAAATACAGTCCATTTACCATTTACCATAAAAGAGTTTGCAGCCCTAATCTCCTCAGGCAGGTTGTTCCAAAGCCAGGAGCCCTTACAGCTAAGGCTCTATATCCTTTGCGTTTCAATCTGTACCTTAGAACAACCAGCAATAGACGCATCTCAGGATCTCAGGTTGTGGGAGTGGACATAGGGCAATAAGAGGTCTGATGAATAACTCCAGCTATGCCTCTCAGGGCTTTTGAAAGGAAGCCAGGATTCGTGTGATGTGGTCGTTTTTTCCAACCTGAGTTAAATTCAAAAGCAGAGTTTTGATTAAGCTGAAAACGGGAGAAGGATTTTTTTAAATGTATGCCAGGGAGGAGAGAGTCATTTGGCTGGAACAACTGTTTCAAACTTTTATGGAGTAAGAAATAGTCTGAGCTTGTCTAGGGTGAGGTTTTGGTCGAATATCAAGACTTTTGCAGTGCTGAGCGATGGACTGGGACAGAGAACCTATATGATGACCTACTAATCTTTTAGCTGCAGATGTCTAGAAGGCATTTTAGCAACTGTGCTTTGATAGTTTCAGGATCCCAGGGTTTTTACATAATTTGAATTAAGGCGGGATGAAAATACTTCAGTTGGAACAAGATGTTCTTTGAAATTCAATCAAGGAACAATATACAGCAGCACTGTTTTGCCCTGAAGGTCTGACTCACCCTGCACAGTATGATCACATGTCATCAGATATCAGAAGAATGTGCCTGTTTTCCCTCCAACAGACTATTGACTTCTACAAACTGGTCATAGAGGGGACTGATATGGGAGGGGGATCCAGCGGCCTAGTAGGGACAGGAACAGTGGAGGTCAAAGTCCTGGACATCAATGACAACATCCCCACCCTGGAAAAATCTGAGGTACACACACACACACACACACACACACACACACACACACACACACACACACACACACACACACACACACACACACACACACACACACACACACACACACACACGCACACACGCACGCACACACGCACACACACATTCCATTACATCCTTACGTTCTCAGGCACCTTGCTGCATTTCTTCAATGACCTTTTAAGGGTACAGCCACAAACCAGGATGCGGATGTAGTGTTGAACACATGGTTAACGCTGTACATGTATACAAAAAAAAGAATGCAACAAAACGACTTTTGGATGTTTTGATTTGTTTTGCTCAAAGTGCATTTACTCAAGTACTGTACTTAAGTACAATTTGGAGATACTTGAGTATTTACATTTTATGCAACCTTGTACTTCTACTCCACTACATTTATTTAATACCTTTAGTTACTTTGCAGATTCGGATTAATGATGTGAAATATAATCAACTCTTAAATAAGACCTTGGAATGTGCCCAGAGTAAATTCACAAGCTACCCTGCAGTATACAAAGTCATTCAAACTAGCTGCACCTTTACCAGCTTTGATAACACTTTAATGATCAATCATTATAAAACATATCATATATATTATTCTGAAATGGACCAATCTGCACAATGACTACTTTTACTGTCGCTACTTTAACTATATTTTGATGAGAATACTTTTCTACTTTCACTTGAGGAACATTTTGAATGCAGGACTTTTACTGAAACAGAGTATTCCTACACTCTGGTAGTTCTACTTTTACTCAGGTACAATATCTATACGTTTTCCACCTCTGCTCAAAATAAGTATATATGTTACCTTATTTCAGTTTTGGATGCCAGGTAAAAAGCAGACTTTAATGGACTTTGGTTGTAAAGCAATTGGTTGGAAAGTGAGGAATGCAAACCTGCAGTCTTTCTGCAAGAGGTGATGCTACTTGTTTCAAAAATAAGTTTGATTGTGTAGGAGTCTATAAGACAGTGAGCCTACTTGATGTATTACCTCTTTTAAAAAATAAGTCTAAAATGTGGGCTCTGATCTCACAAAATGCACTGCATATGGAACAGAGTGCTCCGTAAACCCACAGCCAGACACCAGTGTTGTGTATTAGCAGGAAGAGAACATTAATAAAGCACGGGACAGAGGATATGGGTACTAGTTTCTTTACTGTTACTCATGCTTAACCACCACAGCATCAACTCCCGGGCATACACTTATTCTCGTAACATTGTATGTTACTGTGGTTACACTGTGCCCCCTATTGGCAGGAGTATATATATATATACACAACAACCAGCAAGCGTTTTATTTTGGCTATATTGTTGGTCAGCTTGGGGAGGGTGTCTCTCGACTGTTTACAGCAGCCGCACTGGATTTTGAAAACCACAGAGCTTGCATCGTTTAAGCACGCTCTGAAGGTGTGTGCTTTAAGCTGGGCAATGACTATCAGTCATATACACCAAATGTTTACGGAACAAGATGGTCTTAAGCTAACCACTTAATGTTTTTCTCAAAGTGCATCAGATCTTTAAAATGGAAACTTTTCTTTAATTATTCCTGTCATTTTTAAAACTGCGACACAAAGCCTATTGCAGAAAAAGTTATATAGCAAGTGAGGTGTGAGAGGCAGATAATTAAGAGGGAGAGAGAACAAAGGGAAGAGGATATAGAGATGAATGAAAAGAGAGATGGTGTCTGTCGTGTGACATGTTACCTTTACTTTAACGATTTAACTAATTCATTCATTTTCAGACAATTTGGGATAATTTTAGCCTTTTTTGCAGGTCCAGATTATAATGTTGATTTTTCAATTGATAATTTAACTCAGTTGAATCTGAAGACTTAGGCGCATGGTGAAGACATGGTGAAGCTCTTGGTGCAATCCTTGTTGGTCCAAACAGTCCGGAAGCCATCAATGGAAAAGTGGTAGTCAGATATATCCTGGTCTGTGCATAAGGTGCAGCCATGTTCTCATAGAGCACATTCAAGTGTGATGCCACTGCTACTCGGCTGAAGGGTTAAAGTATGGAGCAACAGATAAAAACTAGTTACATTAATGCATATTCAATTTAATGTTCAAAAAGACTATTTTGATTGACAGGGTACAGGTACGATCAGTGGTGGGACTTTCTGGCACAGTACTGAATTGATTTTAATTAGTAATGACTTTTTATCTATCTGTAATTATTAGTGCTGAGCAACAATAAAGCAATTTAATCGCGATTAATCACATGATTTTCTGCGATTAATCACATTGTTATGTACAAAACAAAAGTCATGCATTGCAAACTTTTATTTTAAAAGTACTGCTATACACGCAATAACATTTGGTCTGCAAACACTTCAAACAAATAAGGTACGTTTTAACAGTAGTATTCCCTTTACACAGTAGCAGTTAAAAAATGTCTTGTAAATCTCAACTTCAACATTAATTAGTGTAAACAAATCAAATATCAAACCAAAGCTATTTGCCACTGCAAGGGCATTAACATTGTATCTAGTTTGTTATACAGTAGAAGTTACCCTCAGTGATCAGAAAATACTTTGCAGTGGTTACAAATACCTCTGGTTCTATCAACTCCGCCGTCTGGAAGAGATGTAAAATGTCCATGTAAGAGTTCGGTACCTTTCTCCATGTTTCTGTCCCGCCAGCCCTAGTGAATATACAACTGAATGTGTAATACGTACATTTCCTCAAGGCTCCTGGGGCCTTTATTCTTTAACATCTACAAGCTAATGTGACATTTTAACTGAACTTTAAAAGTAACATCAAGAAGGCTAGTGTCCCAAGGGTCAAGTCAAGGGTTCAATTACTTTTCTTATCTCAGCACTGAATCTTAACATCTGCCACATTATGAGAAGCAGCAGCGTTCAGTTTGTATGCAACAGATATCTGATACTTCATCCTCGGGGCTGTTTAGTAAAAAGTCTAGTGCTGACAAGTCCACTGCACTTAATTCAGTCCCCACACCTCCTTTTGTTATGTTGATGAATGTATCTCTTTCATTATTCATTCGTGCTCCTCAAATGAAGACAAAAAGACAAAAGTATAGCGATGTAAAACATAGCTACTGGCCTCTGCAACTATGATGAGACACATGGTAACATGTAGTCAAAAAAGACTTTCCTTGGAAACCTGAGAGTCGCCGGTTCAAGTCCCCAAATGGACCACGTACAGACTGGTGCACTTTAGCAAGCAACAGTTAAAAGACCAGGCGATCGTGAACTGGCCTCTTTCCCCAAACCCTATCGGTTGCCTTTTACTTCTGAACAGTAGATGCTTTGATGATAACTGGAAACATCAAGCAAAAAACACCAGTTTTGTAAACAGAATAGACACATAGCTGACAGTAAGACTTTGACACATACTGTTGATCTAATTTTTCGAATCATATTTTCTGTTTGCAGTACGATGGGGAAGTGGAGGAAAATGTTGCCGATGTAGTTGTGATGAGAATCAAAGCTCTGGATAAAGACCTTCAACACTCAGACAACTGGCTGACTGTCTTCGAAATCGCCAAAGGAAATGAGGATAACATATTTTCAATTGAGACGGACAAGGAAACCAATGAGGGCGTCTTGAAGCTGATTAAGGTATTTATGTGACTTTAACACCATTGTACTTTATTTATCACACTTACTGTAACAAGTGTTGAGTGGTGCCCTAACATTTGCTTGCTGCATCGTATCTGTTCTTGTCCCCTCACTCAATTGCTTTTTACTCTCCAATCCGGTCCAAACAGGCTGTGGATTTTGAAGATGTCCAGAATCTTAAGCTTGGCCTGATCATTACGAATGTAGCTCCTTTTGTGAGGGGTGGTGCTATATTAATGGATGTGGAGGTCAAGATTGGAGAGGGTAATCCTATGGCTGCTGGAGCGGGTGCTGGAGGTGGAGGTGGAGGTGGAGGTGGAGGTGGAGGCGGCGGCGGCGGAGGCGGCGGAGGCGGCGGCGGCGGCGGTGGAGGTGGAGGTGGAGGCGGAGGCGGAGGCGGAGGCGAAGGCGAAGGCGAAGGCGAAGGCGACGGCGAAGGCGACGGCGAAGGCGAAGGTGTAGGTGGAGGTGGAGGTGTTGGGGTTGGGGTTGGGGTTGGGGTTGGGGTTGGGGTTGGGGTTGGAGTGGGTGTCGGTATTAAGCCAGGTGTCAAACCAGGAACAAAGCCTGAGCCAAAGAGCTATCCCATTAAGATAGCAGTGAAAAACATTCCAGAGGATCCAGCATTCATTCCAACCACCAAGAATGTTCCTGTATCAGAAGATCCAAATGAAGCACCTGAAGATGGAGTGATCACAGTGTTTGCTGCTGTCGATCCAGACACAGGGCTACCAGCTGAAGATGTCAAGTAAGTCATGCTGCAGGAAACATTACTTTACTTTTACCACAAATGTACCATGTTCACCATCTTAGTTTAGCAATTTAGCATGCTCAAATGTGAGTTATTTGCTTTACAATCACCCAATTAACATTTTGACTTGGTGATGATGACCCAATAGTTTTCAAACCATACCACTCAAAACGAAGTCTATCAAACTAATGGTGGCGTTATATGATAAGTAAGGGGATGACCACATTAATGCTTAGTTCGGAACAAAGACTTGCATAAAAACGTGTTAAAATGTGCAGCAGCTTGCAATTCTTATGTGCTGCAGCTTTCTGAAACATTAAACACGCTAATGCGACAAGACAAGAAGCTTCAGTTTTTCTGTAGCTGGATATCATTTGTTCCATCAAGACAAATTGTTGAAGTGAATATCCTTTTCCTCTGCCATTTCTACCGTCTCAGAGGTTCTATTTGACTTGACCAGTTGACTTCCCTATGTCCTTAGTTTAGCTAGTTGTCTCCTAGTGTTAGCTTCATACTCACACACATAATTCTCATCAATAAAGTGATTACGTGTTTTTCCCCAAATGTTGAAAGTATTACTTTAACCAAATTCTTCTTCTCCTTCTTTGGTTTACTGTATATTACTTATGATAATGTTTTTGGTTTTTTTCCAACTAATTTTTTTCCTAGTTATGCCAAAGCCTTTGATCCAGAAAACTGGTTTACCATCGATGAAAAAACAGCTGAGATTAAACTCAACAAGGTACCAGACAGAGAGTCACCTTTTGTGGTGAATGGTACCTACATTGCCAAGATCCTGGTGATCACAGATGGTAATCCCCTATTTACTTCATAGTCGTGTTGGCTTCTTGATTCACTTCTGTTTGAATAGGCGCTGTCTTTCCGTACTGAAGGACTCTCAATAACTCAACAAAACAGACCTCCATAAAAAATACTGCAGACATTATTAATATAAATATGGAATTATACTAGGACGTTAAGGTTTTCTCCAATGTACAATGCCTTGTTTTTGTATGCTGCTGCAACGCAAACATTTCCCAAATTGGGATCAATAAAGTACTTCTTATTTGATATTATAATATGCTGTTATGCACTCCAGTCTTTGTGCTGTTGGATTTACCAAACTGTTGTCATCCTCAGACAGGCCATCAAAGACCGCCACAGGAACAATAGCCATTCAAGTCCTTGACTCCAACGACCACTGTCCCACTCTGACCACCACCCACAGCACCCAGTGCACTGATGAAACAACTGTCTATGTTACTGCATTTGATGAGGATGTTGATCCCAACGGAGCTCCATTCACATTCAGAGTCATACCTGATGGGACACGAGGGAGCTGGGACGTAGAAGTCGTCAATAGTAAGAAAAAGTGGTTGATACAAACGATTTTCTTTCTTTTAGCATTATTTGTGATTTGTGTGGTTATATTCTTTTAGTACCACTACACTGTAATATTACTGAGGTTACAAGCTAAAGTAATAATGATAATACTATGTTATTTGACAGTGCTTTTTCCTTTGTTGTCAACAGAGACGAGTGCCGCGCTTCACTCTCATGATCCACTCTGGCCTGGCTTATATGAGGTTCAGGTGGAGGTGTTGGATGCTCAAGGTCTTTCTTGCCCATCCAATGAAATTTTTACCGTGGACGTTTGTACCTGTGTGGAGACAAAAGACTGCAAGATAAAGGCAGCCAAATTAGAAACTACTTCAACCGAGCTCTCTGCCCCAGCTATCAGCCTCCTGCTATCGGCAATGTGCTTATTGCTGTGTAAGTTGATCTTTAACAAATGCCTACAGTACACCTTATTAGGGATTATTACGGATGGGTCGATAACACTATTTAATGTCTGATACCTTTACCATAAGTGCCTTCTTAATCAAAAAACAATCCAATAGTCCTTTATTTCTCAAACTAAGTGCAGTGCTAGTTTTTAAGCAAGCTAGTAAATGTATTCAGGCCCAGACTGGCCATCAGGAGGACCGGGAGGTTTCCCGATGGCCAGTCTGTTGAGTGGCCTGCTGTATTGTGAACGAAACGCTGCGCAAATGTGGGTCTGCCTCACACAGGGTGCTGTCTGTCTATGATGTGGCCTGCCGACAGGGCCGTCCCTCCCTACAGGGTGATGGGAGAGGGGGGAGAGGGGGGAGAGGAGGGAGAGGAGGGAGACAGGAGAGGCTGGTTCAGGAGCCCAGACACACTCACAACTATAAATGAACCAAAAATAAATAAATAAACAACTTTCAGTGTTTTTTCATATTGGATATGGGATGTTATTGGTTATGATTTTATGATTATTGAAGAAGAAGAAGAATATGAAGGGATGAAACCCTCTGTAATGGTCTCACATGCAGAGCACACAGCACACAGTGAAATGTGTTCTCTGCTTTGAACCCATCCTAGTGCCAGGAGTCTAGTACTAGGAGCAGTGGGCAGCTATTGTACAGCGCCATGGGAGCAATGGGAGTGAGGGGGAAGGGGGGTGTCCGGTGCCTTGCTCAAGGGCAAGAAATGTATACAGTTCTGTTTCATATGGGTGTTCCCATAGATCTAGTCTCTTTATTTTCCCCTCAAAGTGCACCAGATTGATGCATTTAAAAAAACATCTTACCGGGGGAGCATGCCCCCGGACCCCCCTAGAGGATTTGAGGTCCACCCCCACTTAAAACATGTTCACATGTTCCCAAATACATTTGCACATTTTTTTAAATAGTAACCCCTGTCCATATGTTTATTATTGGGTAGATTTAAACTATAGGGCTATCACTATGGGCAGCACCGCTGTAAATATTCACAAATAAATCCATCAAAATGGCACAAAAGAAACTGGTAGTGGCCGGGTGTTTAATTCCCGGCCTGACTTATTGTCCCAGTCCGGCCCTGAATGTATTTAATGAAAATCAAACCATTATGCATTGAATTACAAGAAAAACGTACTGACAGTGTGATTTATATACAAGGGGGCATACATTCATCAGTGGTGGTGTGATGTATTGGACTGAATAACATCATTTAATAAGTGCCCCAAATAAGTATGGCTAAAAAAAATGATATGAGAGTTACTCCCAATTCACAACTCTGTTTTTAGATGTATTCTTAACACTCTTGTATGAATAACATTGCTAATATTAAATACTCTGTGTCTCTTGAAATATTAAGATCTTGGAATAATTGTAAAAAAACCTTTGAGCTCAACTGAACTTGGCTTAACATTGAACTGCATGTTGTGCTTCTCTCTGCAGTTATTCCTCTTCTCATGCTGTTCTGTCAGTGTGGAGCAGAACTTTTTCCTGACAGTTTTCTTGACATGCCATGGGAGACCAAAGAACAACTCATATCTTACCACACTGAAGGCAGAGGCGAGGATAAGGTTCGCTTGCAATGTTGTTGTTTTTTATTGGGAAGAAAAGTATACATTAACTTCTTATTTTTAGTTTATCAATACAGAGAATCAGACAATATCCTAATATTATTGAAAATTAAAGTCTGTATAGAGATCAAGAGGTAATGTTGGTGAAAGAAAGCAGTGTAGTGGGTCAATGGGATATAAGATCAGTTACTCCTGTTACCACAGGGACACACAGGAAGGTTTAATATTGATAAACCTGTATGCGTTTCTGAGATAACATTGTCATTCTCCTGTTCTTTTTTTAGGAAATGCCACTCCATAGTATAACTGTATCATTGGGTCCCCAAAAGACATTTGGGACAGCACAAGGATCAAATTCCAAAGGCACTATTACAAATACTATAAAAAATAACCAGACAACTACAATCCATGATGAATTTTTGGAAAGGTTTCAGGACACCAGCCAAAGTTGGATGGAGGTCGACAACAACGCTCACAGGGATTTTGGCTATGGTTATGGCAGTGCAACAATCAGCAGAAACACACTACAACACACGACAGCTCACCTAACAGCTCTCTATGAGGATATAGCCTTACCTGACGCTTTCCTGAATGATTACTACTCACAGGTACGTTGTTAGCCTTGCATTCAGCTGTTTTTTTTCTTTTACAGAATTTCACCTTTAAAGAAATGTTCCGAAATTCTTGACACCAGTGTCTGTGCTATTCCTTTACCTTAAACAGAAAGCGATGTGTGCTTTGCCTGCGAAGGACTGTTCTTTGGAGTATCATTTTGAGGGCCAGGGATCCTCTGCTGGATCTGTGGGCAGCTTCAGCCTCCTGGAAACTAACAACGACCTGCAATTCCTTGATGACCTTGGGCCAAAGTTCAAGACTCTGTCTGATATCTGCTCCCCTCCTAAACCAACACCCAAACCTTCCCTGACACACAAAATAGTAGGTGCTGTCCAAACCACAGTAAATAAGGTTGAACCTGTTGTTATGCCCAAAGTTGAGCGAAGCGTTGAAACAGATCATACTGATGTCAAGAAAGAGACAGTCTTGTCATCTACTAACATCTCCAAATCATCCGTCAATACTGTAAGCACTGCCCATCAATCCATGACACTTCCTAACTCTAAGGTTACTAACATCAGTCATTCCACCACTCTGCCCCATCAAGCTCATCATTCTGCCAATCTGTCCCATCTAGCTCGTACAGTTTTCATACAGCCGCAGCCAGTTTATTACGCCACCAACCCTGTACTACAGCCCATGCACTATGTAGTTCAACCACAGCTACAGAACACGGTTATGCTAGCAGAGGGGTCCCATGGAGCTAATTTTCCAGGCTTGTATGTAGTCAGTGGGCCCCAATGCTCTCCTCCTGGGCTAGTGATTCAGGGCATTGAGGGCCCAAAAAGCCCTGCCAGTCCAGTTAGCCCCACCTTCTTTCTACCTGGTAGTCCAGGTGTGTCAACAGGCTCAGGCCCTGCAAAGGGTTGGAAAATGATAGGGCCAAATCCCGATGGTCAATACATGTTAGTTAAAGATAAGAGTAGACCAGATGATGCAGGTGAGGTTGACCCAGGCTCGTCTCAGGGCAATTTGCCCAGAGGTGCAATCCTGGTAAAAGAGGCTGCTCCCCCTCAGGGGAGTGTGCATGGCCTTCTGCCAGGACACACTGTTGCAAAGAGGGGGGGTGCTGTCGGGCAAACATGGGTTGGGCAGCCAGGAGTGATGGGGTTAGTGCCGGTAACAGCTTTTGGAATTGGTGTTGGGAAACCAGGAATGGGAATGGCTGTGAAACCAGAAGTCAGACAGGTTGGAATGTGGCAACCTGGGATGACTCAAGTTGGCATTAGGCAGGTCAGTACAAACCAGTACCAAGAAACTACGCAGTTGCAGCAAACAGCAGATACCAGTGGTATTCTAAAAGCATCAAGAATTAATTCACCAAAGGAAGACAAGACTACAGCAGTTGTAAATACCATCATTTCAGCTGAAAATCAGTTGAAGGATCCAGTTCAGAACATGAATTATGACATTGTTGAGGAAAAGCACGATGTCCCCTACATATCAATGCCTCTCGAGACAACACTTGATGATGAGGATCCTGGTAGGATGGTCCAAACTGCATTTGAAGACAAATTGGGTATCCAACAATGTCCTACACAAACATCAGAAACAGCTCCCACAGAATCCAATGTCCCACAACAAAACTCAGTGGAATCAGAACAGCAGGAAAATCATGTTCCTGCTAAAGGTTTTTCAGAGGAAAATATATCACTGGTCAATCAAATGTCGACCACAGAAGTGTGCCAACCTGGATCAGATGTCATTGATTTAGTTAATACAGGCAGAGAGAGTATAGAGATATCAACAATTCCTCAAGGAGAGGGATCCACATCTACTTTAGAACACATCAACATTGTAGACGATCAAATACAAGATATCTCAGAAGTCAAAGTGGACAGTCAAGAGTCATTGAAAGTGGTAAAAGAAGGACAAGCTGTTCATCTCACCATAGTTGAAGGTCTAGAGGACAAAAGTCAGGAAGTTGGGTCAGAAGCTCAATTAGATGATGTGACAGAGGACCAAATGGACAGGGATCTGGAGGAAGATGTCAGTCCAGCACAGAACGTTGTGTCAGACATAGAAACAAAGCAGGTAAATGCCACCTCTAATAGTATCCAGGGGGAAGTGAATATGGAGGAAATGACTGCAGATGGTGTTATCACAGTCAGTGATTCACATGCAGACGTAAAGGCTCAGGAAGAGCAACTGCTGGATTCTGATGTAGGACTCGATAGTATGCATGACAAATTGTCAGCAACTCTTCCAAACATGTTTTCAAAAGTGACTTTGAATGCATCTGAAGTTAAGTTGAACCTCGACCCAGAGTCAATGCCAGAACCACAGTTTGGTCAAAGTGAATGGACTATGACAGACAGAGGTAATGAAGAGACAGATAGTGCTGATGAAGCAATAACATCATCGCAAACTGTCAGCACTATTATCCTTGGTGATTCAAATCTGACATCAGCCACAGAAGAAATAACCACCCGAGTGCAAGAAGAGGTGTCTAATGGGTCAACCATGCCAACATTAGAGCAACACATGCATACAGCAAAAGACAATGGCTGTGGCCACCAAGAAGAAGAAAGTGGTACAGATGAAGTCAATGCAGATGCAGACAGTATGGAGAGAAGTGATGGAGAGAAAGAGAGTATTCTGGAGGAAGGAGTGCCACAGCAGAGTTGTAGCACCTCTGGTAACCTAGATGAAGACACTGGAAGACAAGATGCTTTCAGTTCTCAAATGGAAGATAACGACAGTGTTGATGAAGAGAAAGGTGAAGATTCTGTTGAAGCAATGGTGTCACCAGTACATCAACATTTCAAGTACTCAGATGACCAAGGTGAAGGGAATGCAACATGCATGAGTTCTCCAGAGGATCATAACTTAATCTCAGATGATAACATAAATGTTCCAGAGCAAGAGGAGGAGAGTTTTGAAGAAGGGGTGTTATCCATACACGAAAATGTTAGCATCACAGAACCCCAAGCTGCATTTGTTGAAGGAGAAGCTGTATCAGGAAGAAGACCTTTGGAGGATCCTTTTATCTCAGAATACAACAATGCTGTGGAGGAAGAGCTCTCAACTGCACATCACATGTCTTCCATCTCAGATGAAGACCGTGTACAAGAAGATGCATCGAACGCTGTTCAAGTAGAGGATAAGCTAAGCTCAGGTGGCAGTGATGGAGAGGAAGAAGAGGAACCGGCCCCCTTCATACAACAAGACAGTCGTTGTTCTGATGACCAAGAAGAAGAGAATGGAAGCGTAGACGCACCAGACACAAGTATTTACGTAGAGGACGAGAGCAGTAAGTTGAACCAGCAATTAGAAGACAGCTCTCTGTCTTGTCCCACTGAATGCTTATCTGAGGATCATTTGTATTTAGCAAGTCAAAATGCAGAGATGAATCCGTTGCCAGCTTCGTCAGAGGTGGGTAACACTCTAGAAATACCTTGTGAAGTTACTACACATCAAGTCAGGCAAGGGGTGGACTCTTCTCAGGTAGGAGACATAGCGTTGGATATTCCTGATAGAGAAGATACTATTGGTCAGGCGTTAGAGAAGCATACTAATATGGATCATTTTGATTCTCCTGTTATATCTTCTGAGGGAATGAGATCCTCCAGGGTTGCAACAGCACAGGTTTCTATGTCCAGTGAAGATAAAGAGGCCAAAGTTCAAATGTTTGAATCTGGAGATATCGCTTTGGAAAAAGGCATGGCAGAGGTCACTATTGATTTCGCGATTAGGGAGGGATTTGATGACAGTGCAACTGGTGCATCTGCTCAGGTAGCACCAACATCTTATTCAGAAATGAAAGTGGTAGAGAAGACCCTATCTTCAGACCTAGACTCAGACCTAGAATCAGACCTAGACTCAGACCTAGACTCAGGAGAGGTAGATGAGGAGGCTGGTAACCTCGTTCAGAATGAAGTAACTGGAGAAACAACAACTCTGATGGACGATGTGTCAAGAGCTTCTGATGACACGCATGGGGCTGAAGCAAGTGATGTTGAAGTGAGTCCTGTACAGCTCCAGACAGTCATGAGCCCAATTCCTCGTAACAAATCAAGAAAGAGCAAAGAGGATTCTAAGAAGAATCCTAAAAGTCCAAAAAGCCCCTCTGGAAAGTGTAAACAACAGTGAGTACTCTGAATTCAATGTTGCATTATCAACTATACAGAGACCCATACCGTTATATGTAGATGTCTGTTTGAGGTCCAAATGGGTGAAGAAGAGGGAGGTGCAACAATATTTAGGATTTTCTGTCTTTAAGGCCAAAATTGTTGTTTAATATCAAAATATGAACCTGCTACGTTGTTGCAAAAGCAAGCTGTGTCACGTCGCGCATCTTCAACACACTACCCAGGTGCCCACCCCCCTTACTTAATCAGAACAGAGTTTTATCAGTTTGGTGAGTACGTGTCAAACAGAGACGATTGCTAGAGTGTGTGTAAAAGGGAACTTTATATTTTGCTTGAGGGGGTTAACCAACTCTCCCTAGCAGTTTTTAAGGAGTTACCCCTTTACAGAGCCTTCTAAAGCTCCAAATAGCACAAAGAAGTTTATTTATGAACTTTAATTCCCAGAAGTTGTTCAACAAGATGCTAGTTGACTGCATCCTTTGGGACAGGATACTACAAAGACAAGAGTGACAAATATCAAACACAGATGAGTTGAGTTGAGGTAAAGTTGTTTTTTTACATAAAGTGATCCAACGTATCTTTCGGTTACAAGTAATTTGGTAAATGGATTGCATACATTAGTGCTGTCTGTAAGAACAAACCTTGTTGTTCGGATGTTTTGTTTAAAGTTTAAACTAGCATAAAATGGAAATTCTCAAGTAAAGTAAGTGACTCAAAACTGTACAGAAAGCTACTTGAGTGAATATATTTGGCTACTGTCCAACACTGATACTAACCATGACCAACCACAACCATCATTCTTAGATCCCATTTTATTATTGTATTACAGCATTGTTGTATTTTTAATGCAAGGCTCTCATTTGTGCATGCAGAGCTGAAATTCTCCTTTGCGAGGCTTCTCTTTGAGTTAGAATAAAATGCCATTGCCTGTTTTTTTTGTGAGATAGTTTTCAAATTGAATAAATCCCATATCTTCCATTTTGTATATTTTATTATCTAGTTTTTTCTTCACTATATAACCATGTTTTTATTGAAGCCATCTCTTCTAACATTCTTTGAGCTGAATGCAAATGTGAACAAGTAGCAGCACCTATTTAACTAGTTAAAACATAAGAAACCAAGCTGGATTTATGAGCATATTTTTCCGCATCTGCCTTTAGGAATAAGTGTGTGGAAGGTTTTTGGTGATTTGATCTATAAATACATTATTCAGAACAAATATTCAATTTATCTTTTTTTATATAATTTGTGATTCTTGGATACTGTCATCATTGCCTTTAAGTAAGTCAGTTTGATATTACCATATGGTGTAATGTATACAGTAAAACATTGGTGAAATGTGGGTTTTCTAAATACTCTGATTTTTGTGTAATAAAGACTTGTTTTCAGTTATTAATGAAGTCACTGCTTTCTGTCATGCATTAACAGAAATATAGCCCCTAAGGTTATTGGAAGGTTATATCTCCAAAAGCACTGCTCAGTGACCAATAGGTTACACTGTATGGCTGCTGGTGTCAAAGTGCGCCTGTGTGAGGGCAACCTCTGGTTCTAAAAAAATCAAGCCAATGTAAGTGTATTAAATCTGCATTCTCTCTAAGATGAGATCCAACAGGAGGCAATTCTACTGGTTGCAAAAAGTAGTCAGAACCTATGGAAGTCTATAAGAAAACGAGCCTACCTCTCACTTGATTTGTTACCTCAGCCTCCATCTCTAGTTTCAAGTCTTCGTTAATACAGCATGATGTTCGTTTAGTAAATGATGGTCCCATTTAGATTAAAATGTATAGTATATATACCAATAATAGACATAAACGCAGGGTATGTTTAATGACAGGTCTACCTTGTGATTGACAGGTTGCTACTACACTGTTGTTCATAATAACTACAATTATTTATTATTTTTATGGCACACTTTGAAAAACAGCAAACTCTCAAGGTGCTCCACATAAAGCGAAAACAAGTGCAACTATAAAAATGCATGTACTGAAAAAAAAATAAAAAATTGGTAATGATAATTAGTCTAAAGATTAGATTAAAAATCAGCAAGTGTTGCTTTGTGTGAGTTGGTTCTTCGAGCGTGGCTACAGTGAGACCTCCTGTGCATGTCATCTTTTTCCAGAGCACATTGAGAAGGTTGGGATTTCTGTGTGCTGGTGAGTACCCGGGCCGCACTGCTTAAGACATACAGTATATCTGCCTCTATATTGCATATAAAATTCAAAATGGCCGACTTCCTGTTGGGTTATGATATGCCGCGAAGAGGCTTTTTTGTGCATTTATATATACAGTCTATGGTCTCACCCAGTCTATTGTCTCACCACGTTACATATTCCTACTAAATAACAGACTTGTAGATGAAACAACAATGAGGGGCTCAATTGTAGCAATTTTGTATGAAGCACTATAGAGCCCCTTTGCGTGCACCAATAAATGAGACCCCAAAAATAATGTGCCGAAAAGTCCAGCTTTGAAGCACCTTTGGGCCCTCAACAAACGCGATGAATTCTGCCAATAATAATAACTTTCAACAGGTTCTTCACCTCGACTCCGTCGTTGCTCAGGCCTGCAATAATGATTGTATTAATAATAATAATAATTAATTAACTTATTAATTATTCAAGACAAATAAGTAGAACAATCTTTAAAAAAGTTTCCACCTTTTCAGGTACATAATCAATTGTTGTAAGTCATCAAATAAATCAAATTAAGTGGTAAGTGAGATATTGTCAAATGTCTGTCTTTGTCTTTGCACAGATGCATTAAAGCACACTGGCATGACATTATTATAATTGAGGTTTTTATGCTAACATGACATGCTGCTGAAGTCGCTAAATCTGTTAAGTGTCCATGAGGCTTGAAGACTGATTATAAAAATTAGATAGGGCAAGTTAGAGTTCTGGGTTGTGTTGGGTTCAGAATTCCAGAAAAGACAGACAACTTCTAAGTTTAACTATTTATTGTGTAGAGAGCAAAAGATATATATTTTGCTTGGCCAAGGACTCCGTCACATCATAGAAATTACAGGCAGCAAAACTGTAATCTGTAACCACTATTTCCGGACAAGAGCCCCGAACGTCATGTGGCAATACATTTTATTACACAGCAACACAATCTTCCAATCAGCATTCGGCCGGCCTGTGGAAGTCCCTCCCTACTCTGTCGCCATCATACGCAATTTGTTTTCGCTAAAGTCTCTACAGAAAATGTGGAGTCTTCATAATGCTGCTTCCTAGCTCCTAGCTGATACTGTCAAAGTGAATGGATTTCCTTAGTGTGTCACCAGCTTTTGTACTTCCTTCAGCCATTAACACCATTTTTAACTGGCTGAAACTTACAGGTCGCTGCTTTTATTTGTTTTCTGATCATTATCCCTGCAGGCAGGCAGTGCTGCATTAAGCTGCCATGACAACATGACTGCTATCAGTTAAGCACACAACCACACAAATAATATTCTCAATGACGGCCACACATTATAACTTTACTGTTTTAATCTAAATTAACTTGATATGTTTAACAGTCCCTCCTTTCCCACTAATGTTGGGTTATTAAGAATGGTTATGCTTCTCATTCTCCCTGTTTTAACCCCCTCTACATGCAAACATACAGAAATATAAAGCTCCACCCATCACATGACTGAGACAAAACAGGAAACAGGTTTTTATTCTGAGCGACACACACACACGCACACGCACATGCGTGCACACACACACACACACACACACACACACACACACACACACACACACACACACACACACACACACGCACATGCGCACACACACACACACACACACACACGCACACGCACATGTGCGCACACACACACACACACACGCACACGCACATGTGCGCACACACACACACACACACACACACACACGCACATGTGCGCACACACACACACACACACACACACACACACACACACACACACACACACACACACACACACACACACACACACACACACACACACACACACACACAAGGACAGACGGACCAGAGTTTTACCAGAAGTCAAAGAGGAAGTAACTTTCAGGGACAGGGAGCGGCTGCTGCTGTGTTTTCTGCTTCACTCGGAGAATAAATGGATTCCAGATTAGAGAAAGGTTTCTGCTGTTCTGTCTGCCATGAAGTCTTTAAAGATCCTGTCGTCCTGTCCTGCAGCCACAGCTTCTGTAGAGACTGTCTGCAGAGCTGGTGGAGAGAGAAACCATCACGTGAGTGTCCACTTTGTAAGAGACGATCTTCAAAGAGTCGACCCCCTTCTAACCTGGTGCTAAAGAACCTGTGTGAGAGTTTCCTACAGGAGAGAGATCAGAGATCTCCAGAGGCTCTCTGCAGTCTGCACTCTGAGAAACTCACACTCTTCTGTCTGGACCATCAGCAGCCAGTGTGTCTCGTCTGCAGAGATTCAAGAACACACAACAACCACAGATTCAGACCCGTCGATGAAGCTGCACAGGATCTCAAAGAGGAGCTCCAGACATCTCTGGTGCCCTTACAGGAGAAGTTAGAAGAATTTAAAGACCATAACAGGCGTTTTGATCACACATCAAGACACATGAAGGTCCAGGCTCAACACACAGAGAGGCAGATTAAGGAGCAGTTTAAAGAGCTTCACCAGTTTCTAGAAGAGGAAGAGGAGGCCAGGATGGCTGCACTGAGGGAGGAAGAGGAGCAGAAGAGGGAGATGATGGAGGAGAAGATGGAGGCTGTGAGCAGAGAGATAGCAGCTCTTTCACACATAGTCAGAGCCACAGAGGAGGAGCTGAGAGCTGAAGACGTCTCCTTCCTGAACAACTACAAGGCTGCAGTGGAGAGGCTGCAGCGCCCCCTGCTGGAGGATCCACAGCTGCCCTCAGGAGCTCTGATAGACCAGGCCAAACACCTGGGCAACCTCAGCTTCAACATCTGGAGCAAGATGAAGGACATGGTGTCATATCACCCTGTGATCCTGGACCCAAACACTGCTGGTCCATTATCCATCCTGTCTGAAGATCTGACCAGCGTGAGGGAAGGAGAGAAACAGCAACGTCCTTATTATTTAGAGAGACATGGTCAATACTCATTGGGCTCTGAGGGCTTTGACTCAGGGACTCACAGCTGGGACGTCCAGGTTGGAGACTATACAGCCTGGGCACTGGGTGTGTTAGCAGAGTCTGTCAAGTGGGAGGAAGATATAGAGCCTGGATTATGGAGAATACGTCCTGATGGTGGTAAATACTCTGCACTTTCCCCGTCACATCCAGAAACTCCTCTCCCATTTAAGAAGAAGCTCCAGAGGGTCAGAGTGAATCTGGACTGGGACGGAGGAAAGTTGTCATTCTCTGATCCTGAGACTAACACACACATACACACCTTCACACACACTTTCACTGAGAGGGTGTTTCCATACATTAACAATCATGATCTTAGCCCGGTGCAGATTTTACCAATGAAGGTCTCAGTGAGGGTAGAACAACAGGAATAGAAAACATACATATACACACACACACACACACACACACACACACACACACACACACAGCTGTTTATTATTTCATGAATTATGTAAGATGGTTTCTGTCATGTCAAAGTGTATTCTTCTGAATGTCTAACACACGTTTTAAACGGGGCAATAAAAGGCCTGAACACTGTTATTACTGTCATAATAAATACTTCATATCTTTGAAGACTTTATGTTATTAATGAACTTTGTGGGGTTTGGTTTCTACAAAAAGTAAAAAACTAAATAATGTTTAATTCTTATTTTGTGTATTTTGATGATGTATTAATAAATAACATATAAAAACATTCCTTACGGTTGATGAGCAATTAGAAAATGTGCTTTCTAATAAAAAAACTAAAAGACAATCAATGCATTTTATCTTTTTAAATCATGTTTATTTTATTGAGATATACCCTGGCACTTTAATATTTATAATAATAATTATAATGATAATAATAATAATAGAGTGAAAGTCAAAGGCACTTAAATAGTGAACATCTCAGAAAAACAACATAAACAAATTAATAAAACACATCCCTCATTAAAGCAGTTCTGAAAAGGTGAGTTCTGACAGACTGTTTGGTTTTTACCTGATTTGATGTTCCTTTAAACTTTGATGCACCTTTTCTCTTTGTGAAGCTGCACACGTGTCCTCCGGCCAGCAGGGGGCAGTGTCTCTGCACTGTTCACTGTTAAAACATGCTGCTGGAGTTCAAATAGAGTGGCGAAGTCACGCCCATCTACTTCCGCCCCATGGGACCTTATTTCGGAAAAATAATGTATTGAAGTCAATGGAGAGAGAAAACTTATCTTTCGATCCCGTTTGAATTGTGCCATGAATTACACATATGATGTTTGTCAATCTTAAAAAATCATTTCCATGTCAAAAAAGTCACAGTTTGTCGTAAAACTGTTGAAATATAAGACTATGAAAAATACGCAACTAGAAAGACTACAAATCCCAGAGTCGCGTAAGTGATGTCACAATTGTTTTCCTCCACAATAGAGATAGCTAAGATCAGCTGGCTAAGATAAGATAACTTTAACAAGATGCCTGTGTGCTTAGTACCAGGTTGTTATTATACCAGCAATGGGTCTTGCTCGTTCTTTCGCTTCCCGTCTGATGAAAGGACCAGGAGTGTGTGGATCATGCTAGCTAGTAGCTAGCAGGTTAGTTAGCATTACAGCCTTGTCATTTGTATTAGCCTTAACATGAAGTAACATTAAGTAACCCAAAATGTTAAACAGTAAGAGTAGTAGTCATATTTTGTGAACCCTTTGAAGAGTACTGACAAGAGGAATCAAAACAGGAGAAAGACACAACACATTGCGCAGAAAACCCTGAAGAAGTATCACTGCACCCGCCTGAGGAATGTTCTGATTATGGGAGACCTATGACACAAATGGAGGAGTCTCCACTGCCCGTCACCCCCCCTGTCAACGCCTTGGAGGATACTCTTCATTCATCTCCCAGCTCTCTCTACTCTCCGCTCACCCTTTCACCCTCGCCCTCCCCCCTGGAGTTCGATGACCGCATGAAGGCGAGATGCAGGGTTGGCAGCATGTCCTTTACCCCCGCCCCTCAACGACGCCCACCAAAATCACCGAAGCAGAGACGCGCACCATCTCCCCCGTCTTCATCACTGTGCCTATGTCAACCACCTCCCATCCCTTCAAGAAAGCATCTGCAGTCTCCGAAGCCTGATAAGGATGTGTGTGTACAAAACGCAACAAACTTTTACTGATATGTGCTGGGTCCAGGCTCAAGGGCATATGGCACTCTCAACTCTTTCCAGCACATGCCGGGGCCCTGCCTGCCAGTAGCTTTGCCGATATCTGTGTTGATAGGTAATAGATTAAGAGCGGTAAATCAGCTTAGAAACAGGAAGTGCTCAAACGTTTGTGTGAGGTTATCAAATTTAGCAGTGATTCCATGTCAGCCACAGCTTGTCACAAATTTTTTTACTGATAGTGTATTTAACAAACTTAAACTAGCTTTATTAAATGTCAGGTCTTTGGCAGGAAAAACATTTTTAATCAATGATTTTATCACTGAGCACAATCTCGATTTTATGTTTTTAACGGAAACTTGGATTGAACAAAATAACAGTGCAGCTGTTCTTATCGAATCAACCCCTCCCAACTTTAGTTTTATGAGTCAGGAAAGAATGCATAAGAAAGGGGGTGGAGTTGCTATTTTGTTCAATGATTCCATTCAATGCAGGAAGACATCTTATGGGGACTTTGCTTCTTTTGAATATGTGGCCCTTCAGCTGAAATGCTCCTCTCGAGCTCTGTTCCTAAATATCTATAGACCACCCAAATACTGTGCAAGCTTTTTTGATGATTTTACTGAACTGCTGTCTATAGTGTGTATTGACTTTGACCGTCTAGTCATTGTTGGTGATTTTAACATCCATGTTGACAACCCCCAGGACAGAGGGGCTAAAGAACTGTTTTGTGTTCTTGATAACTATGGACTGACTCAGCATGTGGCGGAGCCCACGCACAATAAGGGGCACACTCTGGACTTAATTATCTCAAAGGGTCTGAATATCTCAAAGGTTGTGGTGACTGATGTTGCACTCTCTGATCATTCCTGTGTTTTCTTTGAGAGCTCTATTTCTGTTCACAAAAATGTTCAGAAAGAGGTAACCACAAAGCGATATTTAACTGAAAATACTAGGGAAATGTTTACTCATAATTTCTCATCCACACTTGCCCCTGCTAACATCTCAGTAAATGAGCTAGTAGATCATTTTAATTCAAAAATTAAAAATGTTATAGATACCATTGCTCCAACTAAGGTAAAGGAAGTGATTAGCAAGAAAATATCTCCATGGAGAAAGGCCATGACCGTGAGAACAGAAAAAAGAGAGTGTCGAAAAGCTGAACGTAGGTGGCGAAAAACAAATCTCCAGGTTCACTTTGAAATCTATAAAGAGAGACTTGGCCTTTATAATTTGGAATTGAAAAAGGCACGACAGTCTTTCTTCTCTGACATCATTACCAAAAACAAAAACAACGCACGTGCCTTGTTTGCTACCGTCGACAGACTAACTAACCCCCCAGTGTCAGTAGCCTCTGAATTTCTATCCACCAGGGCGTGCAATGATTTTGCCTCCTTCTTCACTGACAAAATTCAGAAAATTAGACAAGCAGTCAGTGCCTCTACATCAGGTACAGCAAATGTTTTGTCCCTATGTCCACCTAATATCAATTCAAACACCATGACACAATTCCATCAGATTAATGGTAAAAACTTAGAGGACATTATTCAACTTCTGAAATCCTCCTCCTGCTGCCTTGATATTATTCCAACAGGATTTTTCAAAGATGTTTTTCCTTGCATGGCCTCAGATCTACTTCATATAGTAAACACATCTCTTCACTCAGGTATTTTTCCAGAGGCCCTGAAAACTGCAGTCATTAAACCGCTCTTAAAAAAGAATAATCTAGATGCCTCAGTAATGAACAATTACAGGCCAATATCAAACCTGCCATTTCTAGGTAAAATCATTGAAAAAGTAGTATTTCAACAGTTGAGTAACTTCTTGCATTTAAATAACTGTTTGGATGTGTTCCAGTCAGGATTTCGTCCAAACCACAGCACTGAGACTGCTCTTGTAAAGGTCTTCAATGACATCCACTTAAACACAGACAGTGGCAGAACTTCAGTGTTAGTATTATTAGATCTCAGTGCTGCATTTGACACTGTTGACCACAACATATTACTAGACCGACTAGAAAACTGGGTGGGACTTTCGGCAACAGTTCTAAATTGGTTTGAGTCCTACTTAAAGGACAGAAAAAACTTTATTTCTATAGGTAAATACACATCTGAGTTGACAAATATGACATGTGGGGTACCTCAAGGCTCCATCTTGGGGCCTCTTCTCTTTAACATCTACATGCTACCACTGGCTCAGATAATGAAAAAGAACAAAATAAGTTACCATAGCTATGCGGATGACACACAAATTTACGTAACAATTTCACCAGGAGATTATGCTCCAATTCAAACACTGAGTAAGTGCATTGAACAAATCAATGACTGGATGTGTCAGAACTTTCTCCAATTAAACAAAGATAAAACTGAGGTAATGGTTTTTGGAGCCAAGGCAGAACGTATAAAAGTTAGCGCTGAGCTTCAGTCTGCAATGTTCAAAACAACAGATAAAGCCAGAAATCTAGGTGTAGTCATGGACTCTGACCTGAGTTTCAACAGTCACATTAAAACAGTTACTAAATCAGCCTACTATCACCTAAAGAACATATCTAGGATTAAAGGACTAATGTCACAGCAGGATTTGGAAAAACTTGTCCATGCTTTTATCTTCAGTAGACTCGACTACTGCAATGGTGTCTTTACAGGCCTCACTAAAAAATCTATTAGAAAGCTGCAGCTAATTCAGAACGCCGCTGCTCGAGTCCTCACTAACACTAAGAAAGTGGATCACTCCTGTTCTGAAGTCTTTACACTGGCTTCCTGTGTGTCAAAGAATAGATTTCAAAATATTGTTGCTGGTTTATAAAGCTTTGAATGGTTTAGGCCCAAAATACATGTCTGACCTACTGCTAAATTATGAACCATCCAGAACCCTCAGGTCTTCAGGGACTGGTCAGCTTTCTGTCCCCAGAGTCAGAACTAAACATGGTAAAGCAGCATTCAGTTATTATGCTCCGAATATCTGGAACAAACTCCCAGAAACCTGCAGGTCCGCTGCAACTCTTACTACTTTTAAATCCAGGCTGAAGACTTTTCTTTTTGCCGCTGCTTTTAATTGAACTATTCACATCTTAAACTGCACTGTAACTTTTAACTTTTATCCATGTATTTTTTCTTTTAATGTTTATTTTATTATCTTTCCTTTTTAATGACTGATTTTAAATGCCATTTTTAAAATGTCTTCCATTTTTGTAAAGCACTTTGAATTACCTTGTGTTGAAAGGTGCTATATAAATAAACTTGCCTTGCCTTGCCTTGCCTTACTGTCACCGGTGTGATCATTCTATAATACACCATTTAAGCCCGGGGGAGAAATGCTAACGCTAACGCTAGCGATCTTCTCTACTTCATACTATCTGCACAAATGGTTGATTTTAAACATTAAAAAGACCAGGCAGTTCAGAGAGAATCAAAGGAAGGCAGGCAGGCAGCTTTGCATGACATTCTTCAGGACGTGTTTCATTGTGGTGATAGTGAGGGTAGTCAATCGTTTTGTTGACAAGACAGTAGT